CTGCAATGCCTCTGTGACCTTTCCGATTCATCATTACATGTACAAATCAAGATATAAGTCACTGGAGTGCAAAGTGAGTGTCGGTCACAGAGGGTATCTGTTTTCCTTCAGACTTCAGGCGTCAGCTGAGAATCTAGGTGTGAATACGATGACTTTTTAAAATGTTTTTTTAAGATTAACCTCTTACAGATATTCTTTAAAGTTATAGTTAGACGCCGATATCTCAACAGTAACTTTTTACTGAACATTTTTTTAATCGTCAGTTTCAGGTGTGTACGCAGGGACAAATCAAACAGAACCAACTACAACTGTACTAAAAGCGACTGACGCTGTAAGAGCAGGTAATGACATAAAAATGTTTTGAAGCATTATTGATTTCAGTTTCTGTCGTCATCTACACTTTCTCTACTGATGGATACTCTGTGTATCTGTTTTATGTTCTTTGTCTGGGTTGAGTTGCTTCATGTATAAATGCGTAAAGACTGTTTAAAATCAGTCTATTGATTTCTGATATTCAGAGAGACCGAAACGTTTAAAGCAAACAAACCTTTTTAGAGGAAGAAATATGAAAAACATAATCAGTCCTTTGGTTTCTTAAAACAACACTGATTAAGGATTTGTTATTCAAAGTTCATACAGTGCAAAGGACTTATCTTTAAAATGTGTCGTGGAATAAAATACAAGTGATGCATGGTTTCCTTATATTTTATTTTGTGCTTCAAAGACAGATTAATTTAATATTTTAATGCACAACCGATTTATTTTTCTCCTTAATAAAAATGTAATTTGTCTTCGTTCTCTTTGCAGCCCAATGGAGGTTGATCGTTGTGTCTGTGGGTTTGTCAGCTCTCATACTAACTGTTGTGATGGTCAACGTATGGACAAAAACTCAAGGTGAGAACATTCACAGATTAAATTTACGAACAAGAAGTTTTTATGAACACACATATTCTCTGTTGAAGCTAAACGGGAATCCGGCTCTTGTTTTTCAGGTCAACAAACACGTATGGATGAAAACATGGTGAGTTCTTCTCATCAGTGTTAGTGACTTCAGGCCCCGTGTCCACCTGCTTGAAGCATTTGTGCGCTGAAGGAAAAGCGCTGCACGTCCGTCCTGTCTCTATGACAACAGTCTGTTGTCTGTATGACCGACACGGCTCCGTTGCTTTTTACTGTGTGTTTAATAGTTGAGATCGTTTATTTCTCGATCAGACACGGAGCAAAGAGGATGTGAGTACAAGACACGATCAGTATCTGGCAAAACTACGGGGAATATCATACATTTGGAAAAGAGTGCCGGCCACTTCAACTGCCTTTCTGAAAAGTTGAAAGATTTTCAACTTGAGCGCTTAGAGAGAAAAAAAACGCTGGGCACTGCACTTTTTCTCCAAGCGACCGCTGCAAACGCTCTCTACTCATTGAAGACAATTGAAAAATGATGGTGGCGCTCAGAAAGAAACCCTAGGTGGACACTGGTCCTTATAATGTAGTTACTTCTCAGCTGACTTTAGGATGCAGATAAAAAGGCCTTTACAGTAGTCGAGTCCTTGTGAGAATAGGTTTTGGAATTGTAAAATGATCTTTTTCAGAGTGTTGGGTTGACTGTGTCGTGTTGTTTGTCGCAGGTGAATGGAAGCCATGAAGATGATGATGCTGTGAACTATGAAAACATCAGCTCTCCTGCAGAGGAATGACACAATCTTCTGTCTCTGTCAGACTACACAGATCAACAACTCAAGTTCTTGTAGCCTCTGCTCTACATGGAGGAAAACCTCCCTCCATCTGTGAACTTCTCTGTTGGATTGAAAATCTCAGTTTTTCATTAGAACAAGAATTTGTCTTTATACAAAGATTCAATGACCAGAAAATGCAAAGAAATGTAAAAATACAGGCTTCTCTCTGAAGATGAGGATGCAAATGACCGCCCTGTCAGACCTAAAATTAATGTAAATACATGTCACATATCTGATACAAGCTCTGTGACAGCACATATAATCAATACAATATTAGTGCTTTGTAAAAAACACATTAAATCTGTTTTTTTATTTACTTTAAAGGAAGAAAAAAACTTGTAAATACTCATCTTAACCCAGAATTATTGAATCTTCAACTTCCTCACTCCTGGTTTTTGTGTCCTTCATTTATCATGGACCTCAACAAAGTATTTACTTTTGATTTTAAGTGCCCTAACATGAGACTCTTTTTACAAAAGCACATATGTAAACCATCTCGCTTCTTGCATAGAAAAGACTTTACATGTTCAACATTTTAACCACATTCGATGCAGTGCATCCTTTGGGTAAAATAGCAAAGACATTTACAGAATCAGTCACTATAGACATGCAATTGTATACAACATGAGTGATGTATTTAAGGCTGTTCTCCCCACAAACCACAACAGGAAACACCAATCGTCTCAATTCACCAAGGTCCAAGTACCATGCAGTGAGGTATCAGGTCTTACCCTGCATCCCCATGGCTGTGTAATGCACTCCCCGACCACCTGAGGGCAGTATCGCCTATTGAAACTTTTAAACAGGACTTAAAACCTTCCTCATTCCAAGTGCCTTCTTTCAATTTAGTGCCTCTTACCTGTTATGCTCTTGTTTTTACTCTGTAGCACTTGAGTTTGGTTTAAAATGTGAATTACAAATACGATGTGTCATTGTTAATGTACAGATTGTGCTCAAAATGTGCAGAAGTATTCATGTTGAATTAGAAGGATCGTGTCCATATTTGATTCAACATTGTTCACGTGTTTAGATGAAACTGATCTCATGATGTCATTTTGCTCTTGATTGTTTTGTAAGTTGTGTCTTGTTGTAAGTTAACCATGACCCCACATTTGTGCTGTGCATGACCCCTTTCAAATGAACTAATAAACTACATTTTTAAGTCAACGTTTTGTAAATGATACATCAAGAAATGAAGAGCTTCTAGTATTGAATAAATGAAATCCAACTTCACAGTTCATCAGGATTATATCCAGTTCACCACACATGCAGGATTTCAGGAAGTATTTGAAAAAGTGGAATACTTACAGTAATTCATAGAAAACTTTGTTTCGGTCTCGTTTCGTCCGCTCTGGTTTGTTACCGCTTCGTTCACCCTCGGCCATGAACTACCATAGGAGCACAACTGGACAGCTGGAGTCCCGAGACAAAGGAATTCCTGTAGTAATTTTACAGATTCACTAGCGACAGCGTGAGATAATACAATATGTGTGGTATAAAACCATTAAAAACACTTAAACAAACACACATGCAGTCATTGTTTTGAATCATTAAAACATAGTATTTTATTCTGAAAATAAATGGATGTTTTAATGTTGTCTGACTTCCCATCCCGCTCGATCTTTTCTGTGGTAAATTGATGCGCCGTGCTCCGGCATCCGGCAAAAATAGAATCCTTGCATGTTACGCCGCTACACAAACCCACAGCTAAATGCTATCCTAGCGCCTGACTCTAAGGCCAGTGAGCCCGTAACTTAATGCCTCTCCTTTGTTGAGTAAACGTGAATGTGTATCCTGCCTTACCTAAATGTGTGTGCACCTGTCCTGTCTGTTTGAGGGGTGCGTGCAGGTGACTCACCGCCAAGATCCTCGTACGTGACACAAAAACAAACGTTACTTCAGATTCAGTCTCTCAGGTGTCTTGCGTCCTCGCGTCTCCCTCGTAGCGTCTCTTCCACTCAAAACCTCCGCAGGTGCTGCTAATGAAGGTTACAGGAGAGGAGTCACCACACCCTCCTCAGGTGTGTCATCAGTACTGACCCTGCTTCTCCTCCTACTAACCTCGCCTACCGCTAAAGACCCTGAAGTCAATCCTCCTAACGCATTATCATAACATTGCATATCTCCTACGGAAGGCTCCGCACTGCCAGAGCTGAGACGCAGCGCAGCGGAGCTAATGGAAGCACACACATTGAATAAAGTGAAAACCAACGTCGCTGCTGTAACGGAGTGGACACAAACAAACACGCTTCTGGTGGAATTTAGGCTTTACATGAGGTGTAAACCAGGTTTTGTTGTTGTTGTATGTGCAGACAGTCCTGGTCTGCACGTACATGTCCTCACAAAAGCTGATATAAGATATATATATAAGATATAAGATGCCACAGTGTCAGTGAGATCACTGAGGTATGTTGATGCAGCCTCAAAAACAGTCCAATCAGTGCAGTCAGAGCAGGCCTGTAACACCAGCTTTGACTCCTCTGTCCATCTGTGCTGGTTAATCAATTCAGTAAATCACATTCCACCACAACATGATGCAGTGTTAAAAGTTCTGGTCATTCATGGATTTCTGTTTGATCGCGTTGATCCTGGCACTAAAGTCCTCTTGGTCTTATGTCCATGTCTTAGGTGTTGAATGTCTGTCCCTGTGACCTTGGTGTGTTTCTGATGTTTATCTGGGCATAATTAGTGAAACCTTCAGAGCTCTGATGCTGTCGACTTGTACTCACATTCTCAGAAAAACACTTCCTCTAAATCTTCAGAGAAACTGACTTCAGCGATAAAATGAGGAACCAACAGATCTTACACCAATCAAGTCTCATCCTGTCGTAGTTTTTCCCATCGTGGACATCAAGAGTTGAATTCTCTTGGGTGAGGAGTTTGACTTTTCAGCTGTCTGCTCATACATGCTGCCAAACATGACTATGAGTCCTGTTTACTAAGAAACTCGTTGAAACTCACAATCATAACACCCTTAACTTCCTCAGTCAACATCTTCCTGTTCAAGAAGGGGAAAGGTCTCACAGTGTGAACTTCAGACTGTTTATGAGCCTTAAAACACTCTAATATTGCAGATTAACAATATCAGGTCGCCGTCTGTAACTGTGGAGAGAAAACTCATCGGAAAAATTGTAAAAGTGAACATTTTTACAGCGTTTCTGTCTTTTTGGACAGAAATCCACTGACATAGAACGGACACAGAGCCACTTTGAGGAAGTGACATCACACTAACCACAAGAAGTAGCTGCTTCAGCAACGCTAAAAAAAACCTTCAACTTTATGAACTCGTACAGTTGTGAGCGTGAGAACAGAAGAGGACAGACTGAGAATCACGATGGACGAGTTCAAATGGATTCAAATTTCTTTCATCTTGTGACGGTGCTTCAGCTGACAGGTAAGAAAACTATCACATACAAATATAAAATGTAAAAGAAATCTTCATCAGTATAATGTAAAATACTATATAACTTGGGCTATGTAACTTATTGACGGGTCACAAGTGTCAGGAGGAGGGGTCAAAGGAATTTGAATGACTTAATAGATGAATTCATTTGCAGCAAGTTGTCCGTTATTTGGTTGCATAAATATTTATTTCTTCTCTTTTTGTCATCACTGCTGTATGGGTTGTAATTTTTATTGTTGTCATTTTAACATCTATACCTTTCTTACTTCATAACACATCATTTGAAAGTAATTAAAGTAAAAGAAGAGTAAGTGAGACATTATCATCTTGACTGAGACACTTCTGAGAAGCTCTAGAAAAACTAAAACTATACAGTATATATATTTTATCTACTGGTGTCAGTTCCAGCTACTTGGTGTCAGTGTGAACTTCCTATCAAATGTTAGAGCGGACATTTTCTGCCAGAAAAAGAAAAAAGTGACGTATGTGTTTAAGAAGTCATTGAGGAAGTGACTCTATCCAAATTAGAGGAAGTAGATAAACATGTCTGTGTAAGAAAGTTAAAGACGCAGAAGATGAGGGAATTCAAATTAATTTAAAATGTTTTGATTTCTGATAATGATGCTTCAATTTACAGTTAAGGATATATAAAACATGAACAGTTTTAACAGAAGAAGATGTATTTAAAGACTCTAAGTCTATTTGTTTTCTAACAGGGTGTGCTTTGTGAACTCTTAAACAGAGTAAACTTCTTCCCCACATTAACCTCAAAATGTCTCCATAATGACATTGAAAGTCAGATTTGTATTTCTCTTAATATTTGAATCTTCTCTCTTATCTCAGCAGCAGTAACTGGACTGTCTCCCCTCTACAATGTCAGAGTTGGAGATGACGTCACATTGGCTTGTAGAAACATGATAGAAGATCAGAGTGACTGTGACAGTACTACATGGACCTGGACCAGTAGATCAGCAAAAGCAGCAGTAGAGCTGATTAACTCGGGCAGATTGCTGAAAACACTGGATTTAAATCAGACAGACTGAGGGTGGGAGTGAACTGTACTCTGGTTATAAAGAAGGTCACAGAGGAGGATGCTGGTTATTTTCTATGTCAACAGTACAAATCAGACATAGAAAAGCCTCCAGATGCTCCGGTGTATCTGTCTGTTATTTCCAGTGAGTATTTATTTTGAAAGTGTTCAGCTCTCTTTTTAAAACAATCATTTGAAACACGACCAATGTCAACATTACTCTGTTAAAAGTTTGGATTAAATTGTGTTATTTCTCACAATATCTCCATCCTCACCAGTGACTGAGCAGAAGAACGGAGATGAGGTGACATTAATCTGCTCTGTGTCGACGTTTGACGGGTGTAGACAAACAGTGAAGTGGCTGTTTCAGAATAAAGATGTTGAAGAACATCGTCAAGGTGTGAGGACATCAGACTCTCCCTGCACTGCCTCTGTGACCGTTCCGACTTATCTTGAAATCTACAAATCAAGATATAAGTCACTGGAGTGTAAAGTGAGTGTTGGTGAAGGAGGGCAGCTGTTTCCCTTCAAACTTCAGCCCTCAGATGAGAATCCAGGTAAGATCTGTATTATAATAATTTCAGATAACTCTTATTGTAATTATTGAGCAATAAATGCTACAATTTGCTAAAACTAAAACTAATATAAAATGTTTATTCTATAAAGATTAGAACTTTTAATCTTCAAACATAATTTATATGTAAACGTTTATTAAGGTGTGTATATCTCTTCAGGTGAGGTCACTACAGCAACAATCAAATCAACAACACCAAATGAAAAGAGCAAAACAGAAACCGACACAACAGAAACTGGAGTAAATGATTCTTCAAAACTAAACGGTAATGGCTCAACTTCTTATGTTTGTCTTTGCTCTTTAAAACCAATTTAGGAAAAGGAACTTTACACAGAGTTTATTTTCCAATCTGTTCATCATTGCTTCCTTTGTGTGGATGATTTTGACATAACGATGGAGAAAAGAAGTTAAAAAAATGGCGCCGCTTGCTCCATTACTGGGCTAGATATCCCAGGATGCTTTGAGCAGTGAGTCAGACGGTTGTAATACATAATAAATGGAGGCAAATTTTGATTGACATCTGCAGCCAAAGTACTTAACTGTGTCTTCTCAGTCCTTCCAGTTTGGCAGTGGGTGTTGATCACCGTGGCTGTGTTGGTTGTAATTGCGCTTGTTATAATTGTCGTGAAGATCATCAGAAGGAAGCGAACTGCAGGTGAGAGCACAGATGAAACTCTGAACAACAGGAATGTTTGAGAAAACTGTTTTTTGGAGAAATAGTTGACCCTCTTGTTGTGTTTTTCAGGGAACAAGTCGCTGAGGGATGACGGTGCTGTGAGTTCTAAAATGACATCTTATATATTTTGATTCTATGGCTAAGACATGAGCAGATACATTCAATTAACTTACATGCAATCTATCTAACTTTTGATGTAAGTTGAACTGATTGCATCTCTGGGCTGAAGTTGTACATTTGGAAATGTTTTGCTGTCCCGTCAAACTGACTTCTCCTGAAACCTGCAAAGATATAGCGCTATATATGTTGGTTATGTTGGGCCTATCGACAACATGTGAATTAACTCCTTTACAGCCAGACTGACCTCAAACTCTGCAGGGACTCAGTCTGCTGCCAAAACCCATCAGAACATATTTAGATCACAGACTCATCCTCATTGCTCCTCGTGTTTGTTCATTGAAGTAATGCAGCAATCAACAGCCTGAGCATCTTTTGTTCTTTACTTCTTTTTGGCAAAAGTTTATTACAAGCTTTACACCATGCTTTATTTCCTTTTTCATACTTTTATTTATTTAAGATTTAAGAAGATACATCTTGGGGAGAGTGTGTCCACCAAAGTACTGAGAATTATCAGGTGGAAAATCCATGGCATGGTCATTTATTGAACAACTCTACAAAACCGCACTTTCAGCGCCTTATTTTCTTAACCTGCATTGTGCTGCGTGACTAAATCCTTCTGAAGAGCGGGAGAAAAAGTTACTCTTTTCCATTTCATATCCTATGTCAATCGAACCCTGTGCTGTATACAGGAGGTTGGAGAAGTAAGCAGCTGCTAATAAGTGTATTTTTAGAAGCAGATATCAAAATGTCAACATATATGTAGAGTAGAAGATCTGAACCTTAGAAAGGGAAGTTAGATTATCTTTGATGAAAGCAGAAGCGTAGAGCATCGGGTTTTCAAAGCAGAAGTCTAAACAAACAAAAAACACCAAAAACTACTCAACAAACCTGCAGTTAAAAAAAAACATATTTCAGCTGTTTATTATGATGAAGAGATGAAGTCAGAGTTGATCCAAAAGTTACTGAGCTGTCATCTCTCTATGCGTCTTTGTGTAGACTGCTCCTGAAGATGGTGTTACCTACTCCTCCATCAAGATCAACGAGAAGAAAAAAGGTCAAGCCCAGGTATGCTGTCTGTAACTTAGTTATGTTGTGTGTTGTCCTGTGTTTTGTATCAATCGGTCTTTATTTGTATAGCATCAATTCATAACAAATGTAACCTCGAGACATTTTACAGAGAGATCAGGTCTATATCGTACTATTTATTATATTTTATTATTATATCGGAATTTGCAAAGATCCATTATTAAAATCAGGGTCGGTAATTTTCGGAAACTAGCATGATTTTGAAAGTAGCATTCCCTCAGTGCTGCGTCTGCGCTCCCTCATAAGCCACGCCCCCTCACTGACATGCACGAGCGCTGTTGCTCCAGAAGCGGACCTCAGCTCATGCTTTGAGTGTGGACTAGAGCACACAAGAGGTAGAGAGCGAGCAGGGAGACAGGGAGGCGTCTGATTGGTTCATCAGATTGGTACCTCGTGGCAGACATTGGTCAAAGTTTTTACAGGCTTAAAGCTGCTACAGATGACGGATTTTCTTTGTTCCTTTTTCAGAGCACATGAGTTATTAATTTCTGTCAGGACTTAAAGACAACGTCAACCAAAATCTTAAAAAGTGGATCTGGAGGAAATGACCAACCCTGACTTTAAACCATCATGAGCACAAAGCAACATTTAGCAAAGTAACAATAGCAAGAAAATGTTCCTTTAAGAGGCAGAAACCTCGAGCAGAACCAGACTCATGATGAAGACTGTGTTGTGTTTTAGATGAAGAGGAAGATCCAGGAAGAAGGGTAGAGACAAACAGAGCCACAAAAACAGCAATGAATAAGACAGATGAATATCTACAACGTCAGTAATGATGATGAAACACTGAGTGTTTTGATTGTAGTTTATCTTATATGATGTTTTTTTACTGGCAGGTCCAGAGGAAAAAAGATGCTGATGAAGGTGCTGAAGTGACCTACTCCACTTTGAAAGCTTCCTCAGCTGATTCCAGCACTTAACTAGTTGTTAGCACTGTACGTTAGCAGCAGATCCTTTGACTCCTGTAAGTCGTGAGATGTGGCCTCCATGAATTGGACTTTGTGGTCCAGCACGTCTCGAGGATGCTCGGATGGATTGTAATCTGGGGAATTTGGAGGCCAAGTCAACCCCTTGAACTCGTTTTGGTCCCCTGACAACCTTCTTACATTTCTCCGGGGTCCAGTTCTGATGCTCACAATGCCCATTGTAAGTATTTTTGCCGGTGGACGATGTCTGAATGTCAAGGGCAACATGTTCCCTCACTGCCTAATATATATCCCACCCATTGACATGTACCAATGTCATTCACTTCACCTGTCAGTGATCGTAAAGTTATGGCTGACTGATGTAAATAAGCGACAGCAAGTGTAAATAAATGTATTATAATATGGTGCATTTTGTTTTCTAAACAGGCTTTATTGACTAATATCTTGTGTTTTCGTTATCATACTTCTTTGTTTTTGGTTTCAGATGACATTTGTTGGTGTTTATAATATATTTTTTTAACATATATTTCTTGACTCAATGACCTTTTTTTAAATCCTGTTAACAAAGTATTTAAAGAAAGCTGATAGCAGAAGTGATGTGACATGATTTCAATGCACAGCTGAAAGAATGTATATGATGAAAGACTTCCTTTTAGAGAAGTTCCAGAGAAGGAGCTTATGCAACGAAGGATGACCTTCTTTGAAGAGGTGACAGCTTTCTCATCAAGCAACATGTATAGTGTGACTTTTAGAGTTTGCAAATAAAAGAAGAGACAGTGTGAAATTCAGATGGATAAAAAAACAACCATGCCTTCATAATATTTGTCTTGATCGATCTCTGGGAGTTTTGGATGAAATGGATCGTAAAATAAAAATATGCAAAACTGAGTTATGGTGACTTGAATGTATTATGTCGCTTTAGTGCCACCTGTTGGTGAACTGCCATACAAGTTTACAGTCAAAACAAACTGTAAAGAGATGGGTTGTGTACCAATCCATGTAGATTATGCAGTGGAATAAGAAGTGTTCAAATTGTGTTTTTTAAGTAAAATAAACAGAACCACTCAGTAAAAATGCCTCGTAACAAGTTTTGTTTTTCTATAAAGAATTTAGGCACATAAACATGAAATGATGCACTGATGTGTTAGAATTGTGTTTTATCACTTTAATAAAAAAAAAAGAAAAAAGATGGCCACACTTGTATATAGATATCAACACAAATAGGCTGATTATGACGTCATGTGTGGTCAAACATTCAAAATACTCCAAGGTCATGCACATCTTTAACAATCACGTTTCAAATACAACACCAGGAGAAATACTTACAAAAGAAAACAATACGTGGGAAGCAATTATTATACTCAGTTAATACAAAAAAAACATGTTATAAAACATCAAAGATGAATCCCCCCAAACCACGGAGCATTAATAAAGAGGATACAATTAAAATCACCTGTTTTGTTTATAATTTAAGATGTTCATAATGTTTATATGTTTATTTCATTATATATAATACCATCCTATTGTTTCTGAAATGTCGATATAAAACAAAGCATAAAACTCCGAAGAAGAAAATTAAACCAGAGCTTTACTTTGAAGGGCAGTTTCTCGAACCGGAAGTGCCTGTCTATTGACCCAGAATGACTTGATCCGTCGGGGGGGGAGATGTTGGAAGGTTTGTTTGCTCTGGAGCTGAATTTCGACTTCACATTGAATAACAACGACGGGTTTTCTTCTTGCGCTGCCCGTTGCTCGACCTCAGGAGTGAATGAGAGCTGCTCGGTGAGTTTTTAAAAAGCTGAGTTAACGGAGACACGAAGCTGAACGGGAATGTTTAGCGAACGTTAGCTTAGCCAGCGTTAGCTCCGGTGTCAAATGTCGCGATACCAACAGCTGTGAACGACAACGATCTCGTTCTACCTTTCATATACCTGCTGTCGAAGTGTCTTTAACCTGCTGCTCGTACTGTGTTGCTTACACATTAACACATTAACACATTTTGAGTCGATGTTTGGTGCTGCAGCTGGAGAGCCTCACGTCACCTCACGTCACGTCACGTCACGGTTTGTTTACGTCTCCTCCCTCAGATGTGACTTCCCTCTGACCGCCGCCGTCGACCATGAGTAACAGCCACCCTCTGCGTCCCCTGGCCTCCGTGTCGGAGATAGACCACATCCACCTGCTGTCGGAGCAGCTGGGCGCCCTGGTGCTCGGAGAGGAGTACAGTGACGTCACCTTCGTCGTGGAGGGGAAACGCTTCCCCGCACACCGGGTCATCCTGGCTGCTCGCTGTCACTACTTCAGGTACGCGGGGTCCGGGTGGACTTGGGGCTTGTGTGGCGTTTCTGGTGGCAGAGGTTGGTGTCATTCATACGCCGCCGCCGACGAAGAAGAAGAAGAAGAAGCAGCGGGAGCAAATTCAGGGGTTTCTGCAGGATTTGGGAATCGAACCCTCGACTTTTTCGGCTGTATTTTCGTGTTTCAATGTCACCTGACTGACACAGAAATCAAGTCGGTTAAATATCAAGCGCCTGTGATATTTGTTAACGTCCTTTAGATGTTTTCTTAGTGTGTGTGTGTGTGTGAAGAAAAATGTTGTTGTCAGAAGTGGGATTCGAACCCCACGCCTCCAGGGGAGACTAAGTAGGGCTTTTACACCGCCTGTCACACCTTCACACCCTGGTGGCGGTGGTCGCTGTGTAGTGAGACCATCAGAAGTAACTAATCTCATTCATACACCTCTGATGAAGCAGAGGGAGCAATCCTACAATTCACTGAGCAGACTCTTTTATCCAAAGCGACGAACATCAGAGAGTAAGAACAACACAAGGATCTAGAAAAAAGGGAACAATGTGAGTAAGAGCAAACGATCAGCTTTGAGTCTGATTGGACACACAGGTGCTGACAGGAAGTGACCAGAGGCAAAGCACACCCAGCAATTCATGGTTAAGTGTCTGGGCCAACGGCACATCGGACATGTTGCTGCAGGGAGCTGGGGATCGAACCCTCGACTTTCCGGCTGAGAAACGACGACTCTACCAACTGAGCCACAGCCGCCCCTAAATGTCTAAACACATGGTCCCTGTCACTTGAGTTACCTCTCTCAGTCCTCTCGGTTAACCTCTGACCTCTGGAAGCGTGACACCAGGGTTGTCAGGCTTCCACAACATGGATACGATACTAATTTAAAACCAAGACAGAGTCAAGTCGTATTTATTTATAAAGCACATTTAAAAACAGCTACAGCTGACCAAAGTGCTGTACAATACATTAAAAAAGAAGAAACAACTTCAGATCACAACGTCCACAAGAGAAATATATATGTATACATATAAAGAGAGAATATATAAATAAAGCAACAAAGGAACCTGAAAGAAGGGCTAGGGCTGCACAATCATAGCCAATGAGATCACTGTTTTTAAAGGTCCCATATTCTGCTTTTTCTGGTTTTATATGCTCTTTAGTGTGTTTTCCATGTGTCCTGTGCATGTTTAGTCACATCTATGTGCAAAAATTCAAAGTCTGTGGAAACGCTGCTTCTCCTACGTCCTCCTGTTAGCTGTAGCATTAGCCGCATGTAACGCTCGGTTCTAGCCCCCCTCGAAAAGAAATTGTAAGTGTGACGTCTTGTCAGTGTGAGATCACTGATCTAAGCCCATTGGCTCGTTGTGGAAAATCCAGCAGCTCATGTTGCACGCCCGTTAACTTCTGTAGCACGCCCACGATGTGCCGTAGCCTGCGGTAGCACAGTACCGCAGTGGGGACTCTGAACGTGGGCACTTCAGAGCCTTAGAGAGAGAGTCAGAAGCGAGCCGGGCAGTACATGAAAACAGACACTTTTTTATTGTGAATGTACAAAAGTAGGAACATAGATTAAATATACGAACCCCAAAAAGGGCAGAATATGGACTCTGTAAACATGATTGGAAAAAGAGAAAGTTCCGCACACTGTTCAGCTCCTAATGAGCAATAATTGTATTTAATAAAATGTACTGAAAGCCCTGCAACTTTTAAAGGATGTTTTTACTTGACACTGCTACTTTTCTAAATGTTGCCAAGTGCTTTCCTCACGGTGGATTAATGTTGGGTTTAGGGCTGTCATGTTGACGGACTTCCCCATGTGGGGATTCAGGGTGGCTCGAGTATTAGTGCACGGATTTGCAGACAGCTTTCTAATTTTTTTTCCTTCCATTCAAAACAACACGACTTCCCCTTGCGACTCGATTATCACAACAGGTGAGCATCGTGTGGGGAGGCTTGTTTTTAGGATGCAGCAAAACCAAGAGAGTAAAATCACATCGGAGAGAGAGACAGAACTAAAGCTGTCGTAATGTACTCTGTAGCCAAATCTTACTGTTCAGGTTTTTAAAAACCCAACTGTCTCACGCTTTCTTTGTATTCAAAAAGCTTAAGATGAGGTGATTCTGGTGATAACTGCTGCTGCAGTAACGATGCTTTGCTTCAACACCATGCACTATCGGTTGTCAACAGCTCTGCCATTGCGTGAATGTTTGTGTCTGTCACAAACTGGTTCTCCTTTTTCATTTGGCCCGAAAGCAGAAATGTTGACAAAGTTGCATCCGGTTTATGCACCAGTACGGTTTCCAGCTAATCATGACAACACACCGCTAAGGTGACTTCATGTGCGGTCTGTGACGGCTGCCTCCTTGCTCCACGTTTGGTTTGTTAATATCCCTGTAATTCTTTTTTTTTGAGCTTACCGCACAGCCCCTGTCTGTAAATGATATAACAAAGAGTAGAGTCTAGCGCTGCTTCTTTTAGAGAGTGTCTTGAGATAACAAGATTAGTGACTGACTTTTTATGTAGAGCCTGAGAAATATGATTTCAGATCTGTCTTATTTACACAGTCTCTGGACATTTCTGCTGTTGTCACAATTGTTTTTCTTTGGCAGCTTACTGTCCAAAGTTTAACCTTTTTGTGATCAGACAAATTCCCGTGGAGAACGTTTTGTCAAATGTCACAGCCACTGAAAAAAATCCCACATCGTCCTCTGGCTCTTCAGGGCTCTGCTGTACGGTGGGATGAAGGAGTCCCAGCCCCAGGCCGAGGTGTCTCTCGAGGAGACGCGTGCCGAAGCCTTCTCGATGCTGCTCCACTACCTGTACACGGGCCGGGCCAGCCTCAGCTCCGCCCGGGAAGAGGTGCTGCTGGACTTCCTGGGGCTGGCTCACCGCTACGGCCTCCAGCCGCTGGAGGACTCCACCTCCGAGTTCCTCCGCACGATTCTTCACACCAACAACGTCTGCCTGGTTTTCGACGTGGCCAGCCTTTATTCTCTGAGCGCGCTCAGTGCAGCCTGCTGCGCCTACATGGACAGACATGCACCAGAAGTGTTGAACTCTGATGGCTTCCTCTTGCTGTCGAAGGTAAGAGGTTGAAGAAGGAGAACATGTTGTGTGAGGAGTTCTCATCAGGACTGCATCTGCTGCATTACTCAGGGCAGCTTTAATCTGTCCTAAGATCTCATGTTTACCTGCATGTAACCTGAAGTTTATGTACAGTGATCTCTAGATGGATGTTACTGATTTTTAAAACAAATCATCAGACCAACAATACACAAAAGTTTATCCTGGGTCACATTTTTAATCTGAGTTTGATTATTTGTTGCATCAGAATTCATTTAAATGCAGGGTTCAGCAGCAAGATTAAGTCAATGACGACATTTTATTTTGAAATTCTGATTTTCCTTCATTTTAAACCAGCTTTTAAGTTTTGAAAAGAAATCTCTGATTATGCAAACCAGCCTACATGCTTTGTATTTTGCCGACTTGCATCCCTGTGTTTATAGACTGCACTGCTGACTGTGGTCAGACGGGACTCCTTCGCTGCCACTGAGAAGGAGATCTTCCAGGCCTTAAGTCGTTGGTGCCGGCAGCACGTGGATGGAGTCGACACGCAGGAAGTGATGGCGGCGGTGCGGCTTCCGCTCATGACTCTGACAGAAATGCTGAACGTGGTGCGACCGTCCGGCCTGCTGAGCCCCGACGACCTGCTGGACGCCATCAAGACCCGATCTGAGAGCCGCAACATGGACCTGAACTACCGGGGCATG